ACAAAGGATGTGACACAAGCACAAGAACGTTGGGAGGGCCAGAACGCCAGGAGGGCCAGAATCATTCTCCAGCAGAAACAGCTGAACCCTGCTCATTACCTGTCCTGGCCACCTCACACGCATCTAGTCACGTCAGGCTTACTTTCCATGTGCCATGCAGATGTGCATTGATTCATCCCTGCTTGTTGTTTTCTGGGAAGCAGCACATGCAGTGGGCCAGCACTGCTGCAGCCACATCTCGGGCAGTCGCTCAGGAAAGCAGCTGAGCACAAGCAGCAAGGAGCCAGTATCAGTTGCACCGGTTTGAAAACATGTACATGTGGCAATTAGGAGGTTCCTAGGGGTAATTATGGGGTTCCTAGTACCAATTAGGGGTAATTCGGAGGTCCCAGTGGCAATTAGGGGGTTCCTAGGAGAAACCAGGGGGTTCCAGTGGCAAATAGTCGGTTCCTAGGGGCAATTAGGGGATTCCTAGGTGTAATTAGGAGGTTCCTAGGGGTGATTAGGGGGTCCCAGTTGCAATTAGGGGGTTCCTAGGGATAATTAGGAGGTCCCAGTGGCAATTAGTGGGTTCCTATGGGTTAATGAGGGTGTCACAGTGGCAATTAGGGGGTCCCAGTGCCAAACAGGTTCCTAGGGGCAATTACGGGGTCCCAGTGCCAAATAGGTGCCTAGGGGCAATTCGGGGGTCCCCAGGGTAATTAGGGTGTTCCTAGGGGTAATTAGGAGGTCCCAGTGGCAATTAGGGGGTTCCTAGGGGCAATTAGGGGGTTCTCATGGTATAATTAGGGGGTCCAAAGGGCATTTAGGGTGTTCCTGGCGTTATTAGGGGGTTTGTAGTGGTAATTAGGGGGTCCCCATGGTAATTAGGAGTTTCCTAGGGGCAATTAGGCAGCTCCTAGGGGCAATTAGGGGATTCCTAGTGTAATTAGGGAGTTCCTAGGGGTAATTAGGAGATCCCAGTGGTAATTAGTGGGTTCCTATCAATTAATTAGGGGGTCTGAGGTGCAATTAGGAGGTTCCTAGGGGTAATTATGGGGCTCCTAGAGGTAATTCGGGGGTCCCAGTGGCAATTAGGGGATTCCTATGGGTTAATGAGGGGGTTCTAGTAGCAATTAGGGGGTCCCAGTGGCAATCAGGGGGTTCCTATGGGTGAATGAGGGGTTCCCAGGGGCAATTAGGGGGTTCCTAAGTGTAATTAGTGGGTTCCTATGGGTTAATGAGGGGGTCCCTAGGGGCAATCAGTGATTTCCTATGGGTTAATTAGGGGGTTCCTAGGGGTAATTAGGGGGTCCCCGGGGTGATTAGTGTGTTCCTATGGATTAATTAGGGGGTGCCAGTAGCAATTAGGGGGTTCCTAGGGGTAATTCGGGGTTCCCAGTGCCAACTAGGGGGTTTCTATGGGTAATTAGGGGGTCCCAGTCCTTCTATGGGTTAATTAGGGGGTTCATAGGATTAATTTGGGGGTTCCTAGGGGTAATTAGGTGGTCCCAGTCGCAATTAGGCGGTTCCTAGGGGTTAATGAGGGGGTCCCAGTGGCAATTAGGCGGTTATGTAACGAAATAGTGAATGTAATGCCATGTAGTCACAACCAATGGCAAAATGAAGCCTGAACATGAACTGTGCTCCTCCCCCCCTCGGTTCTCGCGGCCGCGGCGGTGAAGGGGGGGGGCAGCGCGCGGCCCGGACCGTCCCCCCGCACAGCTTTACCGCCGTATTTTCCCCGCTCTCCGCTGTTTCCACCCCCCACCCCGTGCGGCCTTGCC